CTGTTAGAAATTGAGCTGACACACCTGATGCTGCAGTCTGCTTGGTGAAAAGCTTGGTGAGGCGGTGCTCACTCCTTTCCCCTGCCACATGGACCCAAGGGATAAACCATCAACCCTGCTCATGGTCAACTTTCCTCGCAAGGTCACACCCATTCGGACAGTGGGAGGGTTAATTTAGTGAATAACTGCTAATGTAGAAACTAACGAAGGCTGGGGAGACATTTAATGTGTTAGATTACAATGTTAAAAAGACAAATGCAAAGTGAGGAGATACATTTCTCTCTTGGTTTGACCACGGACACTAGGGGTGCTAAAATCAAGCAAAAGAAGCTAACCGTTTGCATTAGCTACTCCACAACCTGGCAGAACTCCTTCAGGCTTGTGTTATTTGTGGAGAGATAAATGTTGCAGACCAAACAGAAACAGTGGAGGTGTGTTGCTGTTCAGCAAGAATCTGAATGTCAGGAAATAAAACTCCAAATCCTGCCATCCTCCGTCCTCTGGCTCACTTCTAGTTTCTGAAACAAGAGTTCTAGAGCTTGTTTCCCCTCAGAGAACGACTCACAAGGCCTTCATTTGTACTACAGACCACTGCAGGTGTGTTTCAAAAAAGACATTTTTAAAAATGTACAACTTATTTCTATTTATTTTTCAAGTGTTCCACTCAACTGAGTTTTGCACTTACAGAGCTGGCTGCTCAAGGTGTAGAAATTGATTTGAGAATATTTTCCAAAGCAGATTTTTTTTTTCAGAACAAAAACAAAACCTTTAAATTTTTGGGCCCTGGATTTAAAAATGGGGCCCAGATTAAACGTGCCATCAACCCTTCAACAGAGCAAAAAACCCAAAATAAGTCTATTTGACAACTTACGTGGATGTGTCCTGCTGTTGAACTGGGTTCAGTTTTCTGGTTTCAACAAGCTCAGAAGGTGGTCCTGGAATCAGTTCACTGTCGTCAAACTACAATTTCAAAAGGAGGAGAGGAGATCGCTGTACCTCTCATGGGCCAGAACGCTCCAGCTGGTAGAGATCCAGGCTTTGCTCATCTGCATTCAATAAACAGCTCTGACACACACACACACACACACACACACACACACACACACACACACACACACACACACACACACACACACACACACACACACACACACACACACACGGATGAAAGGGGTGATGGAAAAAACGAAATGCGTTAGGAACTGATCTGTAAAACACTGTTCCTGTCTCCTTTCATCAGAGCTTTTTGCTTTGACAGAATTAATGTCTTGTTCCAGTTCCATTTCAAATAAGATTATTGACAAAATTAATTAATGATTAAGGAAGAAGCTGGCCTAATGTTCTTCTGAATGGCACCCCACCTATTCAGAGACCCAAGACTTGATCTGTCTGGTTTTGTAAAAGGAGAACGCTTTAATAAAGCAGTGATAAACTGATGGAGATGAACTCGTTATCAAAGTGGATGACTGAACAAACACACACAAACACTGAAGTTGGCAGAAAAAAACACCATAATGACACATTTAATCTCTTTAAAAATGAGTTACTGGGGAAAATTATGAACAAATAAAGTTATACTTGTTTTAGCTCAAACCAGAGAGACAACAGACATTAGTGTTTCATTTTTTATGTTTTTTGTGTGTGCGATTGTTCAGTAAAACAATTTTGATTTTATATTTCCTCATCAGGTTGACACAGTGATAGTTTGCTCTAGTTGTATTGTTGTGTCCCCTTCTTTTTTGGTTTTGTCTGTTTTTCTCTTTCTGCTGGTCTAGAAGCAGACTCTTGTTCATCATTGATTGTTTATTTTTGTGAATGTTCAGGACTACAAAGGCACATCGCCAAAGCGACGTCATCGAACCAGACACGACGAAAAATGGAGGGAAAATGGCTGCAAGTTCAGCAAACTGCAAATCCTTCTTTCAGAGGGAAAGAAATGCCATAAATCTGGCCATGTGGTAAGTAGCAGCTACACAAGGGGAGAGGAGATTCTGTGGTGACGTCACGTATGAGACAGACCAACGTCTGATTTGTAGGTTCAGGGTGTAAGGCAAAGCAGATTAGAAAATAGCTCTTTAAGCTTTGTTCACTTGCATTCATTTTTTTGTTCTTCCCATGAGCCGGTGGGAAAGGGAGGAGGTTTGGTCTCCCTTTATATTTTAGCTGAGCGGCATTGCCTAGTATGATGATGTCATCGGCAGGACCCCGAGCAGATCCGGAAGCTGCAGCATCAGAAAGCGGCGTTGTATTCTCTCAATGGAATCAACTGAAAGACCATAAAATCTGAGGAGTCATGCAAAGGTTGCATGCTTTCTGCTCCACAGGTAACATTTACCGTAATGTTGTTCATACTAGCGACAGTCAGGATGATATACGTAGTGTAAAACTGCGCTGAAATGAATGTACTGCCCCCTAGCGCCAGGAAACGACACACTGCCACTTTACGTGTTCTTTACGGGGTTGTCTGCTTAGTAATGATTTATATTATATGGTGAATAAATTGTTAATAGCTTAAAAGTATATTAATGCTTAATAATGCACAAAGTAACATTAATAAAGGAACCCTTATAGTAAAGTGTTACCATTTATTTTGTGACGGTGCTCAATCTTGCTGGAAAAGGCATTGTTCAGCACCAAAATGTAGATGGTTGAGAGGTGTTCCTCCTGGATAATGTGTAGGCACCATTCTTTTAGTCAGGGATGCATGTTTGCAAACAATTCTTTAACTGGTTATTGATGTCTTGTAACGGTTAATAGCTGGTGGTTAACCGGGATTAGATATTTCCATCCTGATTCTTTCTTTATGAATTAACTAGAAATATGTTTAGGGGCTCAAATACAGGTGCTGGCCAGTAAATTAGAATATCATCAAAAGGTTGAAAATATTTCAGTAATTCCATTCAAAACGTGAAACTTGTACATTATATTCATGCAATGCACACAGACCAATGTATTTCCAATGTTCATTACATTTAAATTTGATATTCATAAGTGACAACTAATGAAAACTCCAAATTTGGTATCTCAAAAAATTAGAATATTCTGAAAAGGCTGAATATAGAAGACACCTGCTGCCACTCTAATCAGCTGATTTACTCAAAACACCTGCAAAGGCCTTTAAAAGGTCCCTCAGTCTTGTTTTGAAGGCACCACAATCATGGGGAAGACTTCTGACTTAACAGCTGTCCAAAAGACAATCATTGACACCTTGCACAAGGAGGGCAAGACACAAAAGGTGATTGCTAAAGAAGCTGGCTGTTCGCAGAGCTCTGTGTCCAAGCACATTAACAGACAGGCGAAGGGACGGAAAAAATGTGGTAGAAAAAAGTGTATAAGCTCTAGGGATAACCGCACCCTGCAGAGAATTGTGACGACAAACCCATTCAAAAATGTGGGGGAGATCCACAAAGAGTGGACTGCAGCTGGAGTCAGCGCTTCAAGAACCACCACGAGGAGACTCATGAAAGACATGGGATTCAGGTGTCGCATTCCGTGTGTCAAGTCACTCTTGAACAAGAAACAGCGCAAGAAGCGTCTCGCCTGGGCCAAGGACAAAAAGGACTGGACTGATGCTGAGTGGTCCAAAGTTATGTTTTCTGATGAAAGCAAGTTCTGCATTTCCTTTGGAAATCAAGGACCCAGAGTCTGGAGGAAGAGCGGAGAAGCACAGAATCCACGTTGCATGAGGTCCAGTGTAAAGTTTCCACCGTCAGTGATGGTGTGGGGTGCCATGTCATCTGCCGGTGTTGGCCCACTCTGTTTCCTGAGGTCCAGGGTCAATGCAGCCGTCTACCAGGAAGTTTTAGAGCACTTCATGCTTCCTGCTGCTGACCAACTTTATGGGGATGCAGACTTCACCTTTCAACAGGACTTGGCACCTGCACACAGTGCCAAAACCACCAGCACCTGGTTCAAGGACCATGGTATCCCTGTCCTTGATTGGCCAGCAAACTCGCCTGACCTTAACCCCATAGAAAATCTATGGGGTATTGTGAAGCGGAGGATGCAATACGCTAGACCCAACAATGCAGAGGAGCTGAAGACGACTATCAGAGCAACCTGGGCTCTCATAACACCTGAGCAGTGCCACAGACTGATCGAGTCCATGCCACGCCGCATTACTGCAGTTATTGAGGCAAAAGGAGCCCCGACTAAGTATTGAGTGCTATACATGCACATTCTTTTCATGTTCATTCTTTTCAGTTGGCCAACATTAGAGAAACAAACATTTTTTCATTGGCCTTTAGAATATTCTAATTGTCTGAGATACCAGATTTGATGTTTTCATTGGTTGTCACCTATAAATATCAAAATTAAACGTAATAAACATCGGAAATACATTGGTCTGTGTGCATTGCATGAATATAATGTACAAGTTTCACGTTTTGAATGGAATTACTGAAATATTTTCAACCTTTTGATGATATTCTAATTTACTGGCCAGCACCTGTAATTTCTGTGAAATTCTTTGTTTTTCAAAGCAATTAGATTTATTTAAACTATAAACAGTATGAAGTTATGAATTTTTTTTCATTAAAATGCTAAAACTACAAATGTTGTGACAACAAATCTTTGTTTATTTCAATCTCTAAACTTTTAAGACTTCTTCTCAGAAACAAAGACCGGAAGATAGCGCCTACTGCTGGTTTGTGCTAGGACTAAAAATCTGAAACGATCACAAAGAGTTATTAATTGTTGCAGAATGGGGTAAAAAGATAAATGTAAAATGTTATTAAATTGTTGCTGCTGATTAATATTTGAAGATTTAAGACTGGAGCAAGGGCAAACTTTACCTTTAATATCTTTGCGGACTAAATGGTAGAATTTAAACACAACTTTTAAACCTGTGCGTCGTTTTATTTGCCAATAAAAAAGATATCTGAACAGTCCACCTGTTGGCCTTTGTCTTGTTGTTTGTGCTGGCAGTGTGTGGCATGAGTGTGTTGCGTGAGAGACAAACAGCAAAGTGAGTGTGGGTGCGCGCATGTGTGCTGGCGCATTCCTGCACAGCTCCAGGGTGATGAAGAGGTTAAGCCTGCCTCTGAGCCGGAGTATTTCCCCCCCAGCCCATCAGAACCAGCTGCCTCCTCCAGTCCTCCACTTCATGCAGCAGCTGAGTAGACATGGACTCATCCGAACTTTAAACCATTCTTTGTCCCCGCTCGTGTGTCTTCCGGTTGAATGTGCATGGAACAATAACTTTTTGCCCCAGCTTTCCAGTGTGGAGGTGTATTATTGGGGCTCTGCTGCTTTCTTCTCCTCCGTTGGCTCCATACTCATGCGTCGGGAATGCCATGGCCACTCCGAGCGCACAGCAGCAGCAGCACCACCACCACCAGCAGCAGCAGGATTATTTCAGGTCCGTGAGCAGCGAGTCCACCACATACATGATGGTTCCGACCGGCGGGCAGAGCGGGACAGGCCGCCGGGAAGCGCCGTCCAAGATGTGGCTGGCTATGGTGGTGATCGTGGTGGTGGTGCTGCAGATCGCCTCCACCACAGGGCTCTTTGTCTACCTGAACATGTCCATATCACAGGTAGGAGCTGCTTTCATCCTCTCTGACTGTGTCTGGGACTTCTTTTGCTCCAAAAATCAGGAAAACACTGCTTAGTTTGATGAACGGTATCGGCTCAAACTTGTGCGTAAAAATGGAACACACTGGAGCTATTTGCGGCGCAGAGCTGCTTTTGTTTTCAGTGGGATACAGATGTTGTGTCCAGGGGTGAAATATGCAGGTCAGCGTTGGAGGGGGGCCAGTCTCCAGGGCTTTGATTTATGCTATTTTTATTATCTTAAATGGTAATAAAGAGCTAATCTGTTTGTAGTTTGTCAGCAGCCCCCCTGTGACATAGAGCGTCCTAACTGGGAAAGTTCTGCTTTGGTGGGTGATATGGTAAAGATATCATGCCACGATTTTTATCTTTCTACAAGAAAATCACAATTTTATCGCAAGTCACATTGTGGGACTGATGTTTTGCAACTTAATAATTCAATTAAACTTCACAAGAATAAAAAAGTTTGGATGCAAATGCACTGATTCTTGTTTTGAGGGCCAATTTCTGATTTTTTTTTTGTACTCTGCTGATACCAAATGGTCTCAAAGAACTAGAATTATGGAGCACATTTACTGCCTTTCTGAAATGTATGATTCCAGAAAGAAAATGTGTAAAATATTATATTGTGTCATTGTTGGTCATTACAACGAGCAGATGTGTGATTCAAAATTGTGCCTTTTTCTTGAAATTTTTATTGTAAGTTTGTCAAATTGACATGTCCATTGATCTAACTGATACACTCATTTATAACCTTTTAACGAAACTCTAAAAAACTAATTGAATATATAACCTTTTAGGTTTCTGAATCGTAAAATTATGAAAACAAATGCAAACAGAGCCACAATGACAACACAAGCAGCTTAAACTCATTTTATACTTAAAATATGCATTTATGGCTGTTATTTTTAGTTTTCACCTTAAATTATAGACATTTTTCTATTGGGTGTTAATTTTCTTTTTTACTAATTTTCCAAAAACCATAAAAAAGTTAGTGTTTCTTGACCAGTTGTGGTGTCTCAGCCCAGATTTTGTGCTATGTGAACATTTGCTTACACAAAATGTTATGTACTACCACTCCCTGACAGTGTGACACAACAATAATATCCTTATAATAATAATAATATTAATTTGCATGTCAAATACATCTTAGTATGTTTTAAAAATTACATTTTCCTTGCCTAAAGATGACAAAAAACACTTAATGGGAAATGTCGTGACGGTTTTGTAATGCATGCATGAAGGCTTTGGGAGGGTGTTTCACTGAGTGGGAGGCATTAGAGGCTGAAACTGAAAATGTAACCGTTCTCTATGAGTCCGTGGTGTCATCCACGAAAGAGAAAGCTGCAAAGTTGGCAAATCAGAAGCACAATGTTGTTCGGTGAGTCACATCAGTGGAAAAGAAAGCTGAGCTTTTATTTTGGAAGGTCAACATCTGTTTTATTTTAACTTCTCAGTGCAAAGAGATATAAAACATACGAGGGAGAGATAAGCTTATCAGCCAGGTTAACTGATGTTGTGACACCACGTCGCCGTCTTCCTCCTGTTTTATGGAAAAGCAGCACAAGCATTTGGCTGGATCAGCCGTTTACTGCCTGGTTACTGATGTTCATGGGAATGTGTAGGAAATAGGAGTTAAAAGAAATGGAGGCCTGCAGAAAGCTGCTGTTACTGCACTGATAGGTCACGTGAAAAACGAAAGTACTGCATCACGCTGGCCTGAACCTTTAGAATGACCTTCCCCTAGTGCTGAGGCAGTCCACTTCACTTCCACGTTTTAGGTCCTGTTCTAAGACAGTTTTTTAAATCTAGCTTTTGGAGGTTGCTAGTTTGCTAAATCAGATATCTTCTGCCTTTAGTTGATGTAGTGGTTGGATGCCTGGGACCAAGTCCATTCTAGTCCTGTGGTTTTATTTTATATCTCCTTTCGTGTTTTTCCAAAGATGCCTTTTAAGTCTTTTGATTGTTTTTACAGTTTTGATTTTATACCTGTTTTGTATTTATGTGCTCCTCCTGCTTTGTGCAGTGCTTTGCTGCATGCTGTTTTATATAAGCGCTTTAGAAATAAACCTAACTTGACTTGACAAAAGTTAAAAGGCACATATGACAAACTGGATTTTTAGTTTTTTTGGGTGGGTGGGTCATCCATAAACTTCAGAGTTTTAAATAATCTTTGGTGTTGACTACTTTATCTAGTTTTATATCAGTTCTGCAGTAATTCAGCTGCCACAGTTGCACAGAGTGTTGTCAGCAGTTCAAGTGATACAGCTACATTTAAAATCACCAATTTAAATAGAAATTTCAAATTCAAACTCTTGATGGATTATAGTGAACTACAGCTGGACGATATAGAGAAATAGCACACCGATAAAAAATGTTTATATTGTTCGATATCGATAATAATAGGACAATATTTTTACAATTGTAGAAAATATATTTTACGTGCAACCCTGGCCATTTTATTTTTGGTATCTTTACTTTTTTTCCACCTCTTCTTGCTGCAACATGAGGGAAGGGCCTGGTGAAGTAGCGTGCCCGAGTCTGTGGTTTTGATTGGTTATGAGTAAGTAGTGAGTCCAGTATGCTGCTACCTGATAGGTTGTAATGAAAAAACTTCAAATGAAAAAATAATAAAAAAGTTTTATCGACCCAGTTTTTTTCTATCGCGCCACATGTTTATCAGTAGATATATTGAACTATTGAATTATCGTCCAGCTCTATGTTGAGGTCACGTAGCTAACTGATAAAGCTAGCAGAGCTAAACAACATGCCTTCTGTCTCTTCTAAGCATGGAGGAACCCCTTACAAGATGGTCGTCACATAAAATTGAAATTACAAAACATTAATTCTGCTTTCACTAATCGTTATCAACCCAATTCAAGATGGCCACCGCAACCAAATAACTGAAAAAACTCAAAATATGCTGTAACTCAGTCAATTTAAAAGATACTAGGCTAAAAGTTTGTGTCATAGTAGTTATAAGTCATCCAGTTTTGAATTCTAACTAGGGCTGCACAATATACCGAAAAATTATCGTCATCGCGATAACAGGATGTGCGATAGGCCCATCGCAAAGCACGTCAAAAACGGCGATAAATGTTTGGTTCAACATTTCCATCCGTGTCATACATCAACTTTTTGTAAACCAGCTCTGTTTTTTACGCGGAAGTATTATTTGACCAATCAAATGTAGCCCTTCTGATGTGCGGCCAATCAAATGGGTCCGTTCACGTAATACTCCCGCCCCCTACGTAGACCCTTAGGATGGAAAGCAACACCCGAACTGAGTTAGCGGTGCCGTTCCCTTGTTCGTCATGCTGGCTCAGAGCAACGAACGCACTTTGTGCTGAGGTTTCTGGAATCAGCGCCGCTTTCAAACAAGAACGTGAGTCCGCTCGGTGTCGTTAAGCAGCTGATAATAACCGGGCTGACTCCGACATGTGCCGGTGAACCAACCCACCCACCTTCATGTCGCTAGTGTTCCACCAGGTGGTGATGTTAGCCCCAGGCTCCGGTTAGCTTCCAGCTAAAAGGCTACAGCACTCTCCTCCCAGTCCCACCCTGCTAAAGAGGGCCTGGAAAAGTTCCCCCACACATCAAAGTGATTTTTCATTTATGAGCTTTTATAACCTTGTTAATCAGGATAGTTGATTTGCTGCTGCACATAAACTGTCAGTCAGAAGCTCTGCTAGCCGGTTATCTTAAGAGGAGCTAGTTCAATTTTTTAGCTTGTTATCAGAATCATAGTTGCAGTTTCATCATCTGAGCTGCTTTTTAAGATCTAGGTAAACTTGTTCAATTTGGGGTTAAAAACAGTTTTCACATATTTTCCATGTAGTTTTTTTTTGCCAGTTCCTCTTCTGAAAGGTAGACAATTGTTTTTCTCTTTCCCTCAGAAAATCTTAATATTCTCCTAGTTTGGCCCAGCACAGTTCACTTTCCAATTACAGCAACAGCCTTATATCATAACCACATAAGTGGAGAAAATGTTCAGTAGCAATGAGAGAATTTGCTGTTGCATTTAAGTGATGTTAACGATTATTTAACATTTAAACTTATTTTCAGATTTTTTTATTTTATTTATTTATTTTTTTTTTCAAAAAACTCTGGTCAGGGATGTTTTTCTGTATTTGGAGCATCAGGAAAAGTTTTATGGTGGAGGTGATGTTTTAAAGTCACTGAGAAACTGCATGCATGCAGTTTGTTGTTTTGCTGCTAATACAGTAGCAGGTGCAGCTGCATATTATTTCTATAAAAATGTTATGTTGTAATGGAATTCATGCATTAGTTTTTGTTTGCTTTGAACCCAGAGCAGACGTCACACGCCAGACGACATCAACACTGCATACTTTAGTATTTGTTCATTTATCGTAATATCGATATCGCAATATTGAGCACTGTTATCGAATATCGCAGGTTTTCCTAATATCGTGCAGCCCTAATTCTAACAGATCATGTGACAGCTGTTTTGATGTTTTGTTATTAACAGTTCGAGTCAGTCGTGTTTTGTCATTTAGTGAAATATCTCATGGGCCACAGCACACATTTTAAGGAGAAATATAAATCTTTCATGGCTCAAAAGCGCAGTTAGTGGAAGAAACAGCATTTCACATTTAATGTTATCAGTTCTGCTGTACCCTGCTTCCTAGAGGCTAAATTAAGGGTTTGTCTAAACAAATTCACCAGCAAGGTTAAAGAAACACAATAAGGTTAGATTACAGTGACTCACAGATTTCATTTAGCTGTGTCTTTATTATGTTAAAAGAGGAAATCACACACTTAAGAGTCAGAGTTTAATGACACTGCTGTAAAATGAGATTCTCTTGAAGTGGTTAATGACTTGATTTGGGTCTCTAGTCCCAACATGTCTGTGGTGGAGGGATCTTGGTTAAGGAGTGGCTCAGAGACACCAGGCAGAGGCTTAATAAAAAGCACGGGGCTATGTAAATGCATTCGGGAATCCCCCTTGGTTCTCATGTGGAAG